GATTGGCTTAGGCTGCACCCGCACTGCAGAAATAATCCGGTTTGATACCGCTTTAATTGTCATGGCTCCGTCCAATGGAATCCTGGGATTTGTAGTTCATTGTGGTCCCAGAGCTCTCTGACAGAGAAGCCTGAATGCCTCACAGGACTACAATTCCCAGAATTCCCTAGCACCGAGCCATGGCACTTAAAGCGGTGTCAAACCGGATTATTTCTTCAGTGCGGATGCAGCTCAAGCCTTTTGAAGTGAAGGTTTTTAAGGGCAGGTTTTATTTAGTTTTATTTCTATTTTTATTTTTATTTTTATTGTTTTAATGTTTTAGTATTTTTGTTTTATCATGTACTGTTTTTAAGCACTTTTATCTTTCAAACTGCATTTCGTTTTTTAATGAAGGATGTATTTTAATACTATACCAGTTTAATACTATTTTAATGCCCACTTTTGTGTGTTTTTAACTGTCTTTTTCTTTAATTGTAAGCCGCTTTGTGTCCCAATTGTGGGGGGAAAGTGGGGTGTAAATAAATAGAAGAAGAAGAACAAAAAACAGGATGTAAATAAATCCAATAATAATAATAATAATAATAAGCTTGATCACTAGCTCCAGGGCATGCTAAGAGTTCTTCGTTTATTATTCTTGCTTGCTTCACAAAATATAATTTGTGCTTATAATCACTGAGGTTTATTTATTGTCTATTATTTTATTTTATTTTATTGTTTTTTAACCCTGAGTTTCCACTTTTTTAAAAAATGAGGGCTCAGGATGGCTAGCCAGCATCCTTTAACTTATTTATTTTTTAAAATAATTAATAGCATCCTTAAAATCACCCCTAAAAACAAATTGGGTAATAAGACGATTAAAAATCAACAGCCACAAAAACATTTGAAAACATCTGATTCGTGCCATTGTTGCAGAATTAATGCAGTTTTGATGCCACTTTAACTGCTGTGGAACTCTGGGATTTGTATTTTTGTGAGATATTTAGCCTTCTCTGTTGGAGAGCTCTGGTGCCACAGCAAACTACAGATCCCAGGGTTCCAAAGCATGGAGCCATGACAGTTAAAGTGCTGTCAAACTGCATTATTTCTGCAGTGCAGATGCAGCCCTAGCTTTGCCAGTGTTGTCAACTGCCTTCAAGTTGCCCCAAATCATGGCAACTCTGTGGATGAGACACCTCTAAGCCCCTACTTCCCATTTATTTATTTTTTAATTTATTGTTTGAATGCATTTTAGTATTTTTAATTGTTTTAATATAAGATTGTTTAATTGTATATTTTATATGTAGAGAGATCTTGTAGCACCTTGGAGACTAACTGAAAGAGAGAAGTTGCCAGCATGAGCTTTTGTAGACTACAATCTACTTCCTCAGATGCATTTGATGGTGTCATGTGAGGAAGTAGACTGAAGTTTACAAAAGCTCATGCTGCCA